TCCCCCCCCCCCCCCACCCCACCCGTCTATTCGCATTTACCGCAGGCGATGAACAATAAAGAACCACTATTATTCACTGGAAATATGGTAAAGTGTAGAAAGACACAAATTTAATAAGGCCTATACAGTCTTATTAATAAAAAAAATAAACAACAATCCGCATAGGAGACTGAATCACTCACTTCGGAAACAACATTGACCACTTGTTCTTCTTCTTCAGCTTCCTCACCAAACGACAATAGAGAAAAATTTCTGCACGGTGATTAGAAACAACACGAGAAGAGATGCATTACAGAGTGGTTAAAACCGAACACATCAGATGTGGGCATTCGAGATTTCATGTTTTTTTTTCAAATTTATATAGAACATGCACACATTTTACCTATACTGAGCGCTGACATAACCGGGGTTCATGTTCAGATTATAATGTAGGTCGCTTGCTCTCCGAACGACAGCTACACCATGCTGCCTGCAAAAGTTGTGTAAGAGGCGATTAAGTGATTACGGCCATCGACTTATCGCGCTAGATCTCGTGTGTGCGAATCCTACTACGACTACCATCTAACATTCCCCATTTCTTTGCATCACAAGGCAACGATGAGCAGATTTCAAACACCGGGTCTGAATCCAGATCGAAGGAAGATACATGTCACGACATGTTGACATTCTGTTAGATCTCCTCAATCGCTGAATAAAACAATCAAGCAAATAGATAGCACATTAGGTTATTAAATCTTAATGAACGAACATGTCGTGGTTGACTAGAATTTCACTGCTCATATTATAAGCAAAAGGTCAATTTCACGGAACAAAATGGGAGGATGTAACCGGATCAACGACGCCTCACAAATTGCTAAAAGCTTTGCATTGAAATTACGTAATAGTGGCTTAAAAAAGGAAGCCTGATTAATTACATGTTTTGTTGTAATAATGTGTTTTAATAGGTGCCCCGGGGTCATTGTGACAGTTCAACCATCGGGTGTGGGTAGCGTCAACGACTTCATCAACCACTTTGGAATATATTCGGTCATTTGTTGTGACAGTTGACGGTTCGTTCCGTCTATGTACGCGTCACTGCAACCACATATGAACTGGTATACACTGTGAGACAGAACTGGCTTGAATGGTATACTCACACATGTCCAAATCAACTCCGCGGGCAAAACCAGTAGGCCAAAATTACGCAGTTGTGTGAACAAAAAATATTGACGCAATCCGTTCACTTACCATGGTTAGAAGTCCTTGTCTATCTCTACACGTTCGTTGACAAAGATTTATTAACCAAAGGTGCTACCTAAGTGCTTAAAAGTGTCGGACGCCCAAGTATGACGTAGGCTAATACTCTGTTGGCGAACGGGAGTAAACTGTTCTCGCAGCAGTCCACGTGCAACTGAATGGTTTAATCGTAGTTATCTATTCGCTAGTAGAGCAGAGAGAGCACAATGACCACCTATACAAGCTCCTTCTATGCTTACAGGCTCAGGGAACTGGCCGTACCGCATAATCTTATTATTAAATTTGTGATTACCTGCATTCTTCCATACTGGCTATACTGCTCCCCGATTTTTATCCCCGGACTGAAAGAAAAAGACTTCTCTTTATTTTCAAGATCCCTTAAACTTTTATCCCGCTACAGTGGAGTTGATAAAGCTGTTTTAGTTGATTTCTTTATTTCCAAGCATCTTGATGCTTGTGATACATTCATTGACAGGATAATGCATGATCAAGGGCACTGTCTGCACCAAGATATCGCGAAAGCCCTGTCGATTCCCCGGGTACGCTCCAAATATCAACTCCTTCCTGCGCGGACTTCCACATATTGAAACAGTGTAATTCCTCACCNATCGAAAAAGTGTAATTCCTCACCTAGCTCGTTTACTAGTAAATCGTCAGAATATCCTCACCCACCTCAGGGGAAAACTCTTGCCTTAATTTTTCTCTCATTTATTAAAGTGCAGAATTTCTCATACTGTATTTTTTTGTTTGCAGTTGTTTTACCTATCCACTTTAAAACTCGTAAACTGCTGAAAATGAACCTTTTGGGTGCATAAAGCTTTTCTTGACTTGACTCCTAATGCGCTCAGTCTTCAATCTGTGCTTTAAAATCATTTGCACAATCACGCCGGAGCTTCGGTTCAAACGAATAGGCTCCAGTGAGTTTATCTTAGCAGGCATCCATTTGTGTATCCTAACTGCAGTTGGTCGGCGCGTATGCTGAAATGATGAACAAACACCTTTAGATTTTGCCTCCTTTCCGGGCGTTGACTGAACCCTGGAGCCGCATCGCACACAAACGACTTTTGACAGCGATCCAATCGACAAGTAAGGTTTTGACTGTTATTTAGTAAAATATCTGCTCCACGTCAACCTACTGAACGGGCTCCACAATCATCTGGTGTGAGAAGGAAGTACCCAGAGCATGAACCCGATGAACTCAAGTGGCTTACAGTACTAGAATCCCGAATTCCTGTCTCCGAAAGATGGGCAAGTCTTCAGAAGCTGCTTTTCATTTTTTGATGAACTACTAACAGTGCTATTTGGCAACCATCTTTGGCATGTGACAAACAACTGGTCTGAGAGAATGCTACGAGCCGGATGAAGAGATAAATTGGGTATAGAGGACAAAACAAAGGGTGAAATAAATTGGGATGGAGGAGGCGGGAACCTACGGAGTTGCATTCACCTGACTAAACTAATTACATAACACAATCATTCAGTCATCGTTTCATTTTCTGAACAACGGTCGATTACGTCATACAGTCGAGCCATGGGCATCCTCAATGTGTGAATGAACCGCTTTTGTCTGCATATTTCAGGGTGGTGGATCCAAATAGCTACTGCCCCGATCGTGCAAAACATGATTTTCCTCAGTTGTTCAGTCAGATTCATTGGGGTTCTGTAGATGACCTTAAGTAACCTTTCGACATCTACCCGTGTTGATCGGATACTCCGTTTTTCATTCCTGGAGACTTAAAGACTGAATGGTACCATCAACAATTTCTGTGCCTATCCACTCATGTGCTCCTTTGGAGCTGGTTTCATCGGTCGTATCGGTCGACAGTTGACCAAACGGACTCATGAGCATCATCCAGTCCGGTTGAGAAACGGCCTATCTGATCAACCTTTCGACATCTACCGTACGGTAGATGTCGAAAGGTTACTTAAGGTCATCTGACTGAACAACTGAGGAAAATCATGTTTTGCACGATCGAGGCAGTAGCTATTTGGATCCACCACCCTGAAATATGCAGACAAAAGCGGTTCATTCACACATTGAGGATGCCCATGGCTCGACTGTATGACGTAATCGACCGTTGTTCAGAAAATGAAACGATGACTGAATGATTGTGTTATGTAATTAGTTTAGTCAGGTGAATGCGACTCCGTAGGTCCCCTCCTCCTACTAACAGTGTATTTTATGAAATGTTTGAGCATACCCCCCTCCGTACCAATGGTTAGCCTGCGCGACGAACGATGCAATATGGAATTATGTTTCATATGCGCATTCACTGGATTCGTTAGGGAATTCAGACAATAGGCAGAAGAAAGATTAGCGTTCACAATCAAAAACTTCAGTTCTGACCAGAACCGAACCGCAAGGCAGCGGTTGAGGCGAAGCGTAACCTGTTTACTTGGATCGACTGGCCCTCCGTTATTTCATTTAATGAGATGCCAAATGGAGTAGAATCTCTGATCTCAAAGAACAAGAAAATGAACTATTCTTACCTTTTAGATATAAGACGTCCTGGCTCGACAAAACTATCCTGTGTAGCTCGTTGGGTGACAGATGTGCACACGTTGAGGTGCAGCCTTTTCGTTGTATCAGAATATCGTATCACCTTTCCAGTCGTTAACCCCATAGTTACGAGGTGTAGTAGATTCATAGAAATCAGACAGTCGCGCAATTGGGATATTTTACAAGAAAAACAGATGCAGTGGTTATTCGATTACTAAACCCATTCCTTTGGTGTCAGAAACAGATCGTACATTAGCTTATGCAGCTCCGGAGTCGACTTGAAAATAAACCCCGAGATGGACAGAATCTTTGGCTCGACCTTGTGACCTAAACATGTGGCGAAATGTATATACTTTGGTTGTTTTCCGAACGAGGATATAAACACCTCACCCTCGTCACATCACAATAAAGTACAATCAGCGAATCACATGTCGAAATCGGAAGGAAAGCGTTTTGATATTATTTTTTGTACTCGATTGTTGTGGCGTTGGCACCATGCTTGTTTACAAGACGGTGTTAAATATATATCTAAATGATCGCACCATCTTGAGGAATAAGTTAGTGAAAAGACCTTAATCACTAAATCACGACATCCCCCTGGGTAACTTTTCGTAGAAAGAGAGTAACTTGTCGATATTGCTGGTAGAGTAGAGAAAAAACAGACAAACATAAATCAATACTCGAAATAGGTTGGATTGTTGTAGCAGTAAACTGATAGTGACCACAAAGTAACTAACGTTTACGAGATTCCTATTCCTACCCTATGAAAATATTATGTGATACGTCTTTTCAAGTCCCAGGGCTAAGGATACCAGTGACTAAAAACACAAATCAGGTCCTCGAGACTATGGGATTCCCCAATTTCACTATGCGCAACACGATGGAGCGCAGCCTTGGGCTAAGATTGACCTGACATCGAATAACGCGTTTCTCAGCCACCTGAAGCTCACGGGTCCATGCTGTCACGAATGTAAGAGCCTGGTAGAAAAACAGGTTTAAAATAGAAGCTTCCAGTTCTGGCGACAGCCACAAGTTAAATGAACAATCAATTATTCCGCCATGAGCTGTCTGAATGAACCAGTTCCGGTTGAATGCGAAACGTAGTGCAGCCGAGGACCAGACCCTCAATGACCTAAACGGTGCGAGCCTAAAATGTATTCCTTCATTGAAGAAGTAAACTAGCCATCGTGTCACGTTCAAGGACAGTGTCCGAGAAAAAACGCATACACATGCATCATATGACAGGAGCGTTCAGCATCATCAACAACAGTAACACAACTTTCACGACAAGCATCTAACAAACAGCGCCTAGAACAACATACTTGGTTGCTTTAGCGGTGACTTGATTTGCCTCTTTCTCATCGGTGGTTTTCGGTTTTGCGCGTTGGATTTGTCGAGGCACAATGTCATCGTACGGGTTCAGGAGGATCTAGGCGGAAAGAGCGAAGCGGTGCAGTGTACAGAACAATCCATCCGTGCATGCGGTGAAAGAAGTGATGACAATGTAAAACGCGATACCGAATTCCGAACTGAGTCTATCCACCACTAAGATTCTAGAGGAAAACATCTCAATTAAAAATAAAAAGGAAAAAAGATTTCGATGACGGTCTACTGCGGTAACTACTTATGTTTGGGTTTGCTCTGGCACTTTTGCTGCAAATTCCGATTTTTCACTTCTCTTCCGGGCTGATGAGATACTCCCTTTCGGAATTTATTATAACTACCGACCCGTTTCCCTCGTTTTAATAAGGACTTTCGTTCTTCAACTTTCAACCCAGTCCCCGCTTGTGCTAGACACTTCGCCTCAGTTCGTTTTTTGTCTTCCTGCATCTTGTGCTGGGCCACCGCCAATATTAACCGCGATCGTGAAGCCCTCAAAGCCTCTCATAATTCAAATAGTGAAAACATCTCCAACTTGGGTTACAGACGCATTGTTTTCTTCAATGCCATTAGAGACACACTGTAACAAGTTTCGCAGTCTCGGATAAATGACAGTAGCGAATGGCATTGTTTAGTTAAATAATTATCACTCCAGCATGAATGACCTTTTGTGTAACAAAAAGAATATGAGGCAAATAACCATGGCACAATACGGTGATCGCAAAGCGTACTCGAAGCGGATAGTCAGAGAAACACCATCTGCGTCGCAATTGAAAAACATCCCTGAAACATCAAAACGAATCATTCAGTTCAAGAAACACGTTCACAAAGTCTATGCAAAAACTTAACGACCATGATTTTCTGTTATGGAGACCGAAAACCTGAGCATTGGCATTCAGAAGAGATGACGGCTAACACATGGATCAGTCATCAATCAAAACTCCTTTCCGAAATCAGACACGGATGTACGTCAGCACCAGGCGGAGTCGCACCAAAACAGAGTACTGAAAACCAAACTGACGTAATTCGCACTTTTTATTTTTAACGCATGCGGTTTTTCAATAGTGGTGAGTACCGTTTTTGCGTTCCGCACAGAACTTGAACCACAGAACTTCGACGTGGAAGAGAAAACCCTTAGCCCTGGGCTGCATGATTGATGGCCTTCAGCGAATGGCTATGTCAATTCACGACTTTTGTTCCAGTACATTCAGTTTCACAGGCTCGACGTACTGTATACGATCCCCTCATTATGAGTTTAAGTTTCACTTGTATTAAACATTGCCACAACAGGAAAGTAATGCAAATTCTGTGGGAAGACCAACAAGCGAGGACTTTGATTGGCTCCAGTATACTTACACGCTGTCCATCACATTGTTGGAATTCTCATATTTTCAATCAGTCGTTGCTACTTCACGAGATCGCAACATTTGTCTCAAACACACCAGGACATATTTTGATGGCTCATCGGCTCGTGTAACTCCATTTTCTCACTATCCAGCTTCGACCAAAAAACGCAAGCGCTGAGGCTAGTTGCCCTTAATTGCGCCCCTTTGGTCAGGACTAACATCCGGTCAGACAAATTTTAATTATTTGTGCAAATTTTGGTTGTAATTACTAGTCGCATTTCCTCTATTTCTATGAACGGATTGAATAAGATTTTCATATTACCATACAACTTCCTGTGCAAATTGACGAAGAATATTTTCGTGGACCCATTGCACGCGAAACTGATGCGTTTTCGTTCCCACCAATCTACACGGTCTGCGCCTTGCGCCTTCAAAGTGCAAAGTGATCTCGCAAAGATTGCGAAAACCACCGCGGGGTCAGTTTGATCCTGATCGTCACCAAAATGCTTGGTCATATTTCGACTTCTGGCTCCTTTAAGAGAAATGAACGTCCGTGAACAGTAAGCCGGATTCCGGCCTGGCCGTGGATGTATTGATCAAATTTTTACGTTACGCCAGGTCCTTGAGCTGCGTGACACCCACCACCGA